AGTGAAGAGTGATAATAATTAAATAACTCTTGTGGTCCCGTTGGTTGGCCACCCTTTCTAAACTGTTGAATATGGTACCTCTGACCACAAAATGGTGCCAAAAAGCCTTGCGTGTTGCTGTAATCAGAATCCACGTAATAATGGGGGGGGGGGGGGGGCAAGAATGGGTCATTTGGATCTCTCATAGTCTCAGTTAACACTCTGAAATCAGCAGTTGATCATTCCCATCGGGTATTGACATAAGTGAATAACATATCAAAACTACACGCCGTTATTACATTTTGAGTACACAAATGTCTTCTTCCTCTGTAGACTGTCTGTTGATGTGCAGGTGGGACAACCATCATATGTGTACCGTCTATTGCACCAATACAATCCTATTAAAATACATAAGGCGTGAGTTATGATTAATTTAAAATTATTTGTCATATTAGTAGTTTATGAGCATAGTCAGATTGTACCTTAAATCATGGCCAGTACTTAGGGTTGTGTTGAATCTCTGGGGGGACAATGTTCATATTTGGTAGTTTTATAACTTGAGGTGCTAACGCAGACAATGCGGTAAGCATATTATCAAAATGCCGGTGTATTGTCTCTCCAGAATGACAAAATCTATCTTGCATATCTCTATTGCAATCTGAGTGAGTAACTGTTCTTAAGAACATCATTAGAGATTCTTCTGCTAAAATACTTGAAGAAGGCAGTAGGTTGCGGCCTCGAATTAACTGAACAATTGCTTCAAACGTGTCTCGATGCATATGACACATTTCAAATAAATTTTCGGGATGTCCATGTAATTGTTCTAAAACATATTCTCGTCCTGTTAACGCAGAATTACGACGAGGTTGCCTAGTTCGTCTGTTTCCAATCGACATCAACAATTAGATATAATGTTGTGGTTGTGCATCATCATCTGATGACTGGAGAAAGTCAACAGCTCTGGCATCATTCTCACTATCTGAATCCATATTAACCTAAAAAATGAACAAGACTGGAACTAATCAAACATCCATATAACATTAACTAATCAAACGAAGTACTCCAATGTAATTCAATCCGACTAGAAACAAATAACAAAGTCTAACAAACACAAGTCCGAGAGGAAAATCTGTTGTACATGCTCAACAATACTTTAAAAAAAAACATACGTCCGAGAGGAAACAAATAAAGAAAACAACACAATGATCATTTAAACTACAGGCTTCGAATCCATGAAAGATGACGATGAGCGGGCATTTTCACAAACATCCTCCTAAGGGAAATGTCAACAGCCAACTTGTGCGCTGCCTTATTATACGCATTGTCGTCTAAATACTCCTTATACCCATTCAGCAAATCCAGACAGGTTTCAATACTTATAGTTGGATCCTCTTTCTGAGCCTCAACTAATGTCATAGTACGGGCTTGCCTATCAGCTAAATATTACTGAAACAAATCAACCTTTTGAACAGATGTCTCACTACGTAGGGTAGCACTCTTTGCCAAAGCCTCTATAGCCACGTCAATTGCAGTATTGTTCTTGCCCTTCTTCTTGGATCGAGCAGTAGGACCCTGAGACCGTCTATTTCTATTGTCTTCTGCACCGGACTTCATCCGAGTCCCCTATACCCTCCTCCTCCTCTTCCGGTTGTGTGGCAGCCCTTTTCGCCGCAATATACTTAGTTGTACTAACGTATCCCATACATATATTAAAGCAGGGGAAAAAATGATATAACATCATAAAAAAGAAGAAAAAATAAATATTTTCTACAATATACTTAGTTGTACTAACGTATCCCATACATATATTAAATCTGTGTACAGAAAAAATAAATGCTTCATATTACATTATAAAATGAGTAGATATCATAAATAAATGAAGAAAAATTTAAAAAAACATAAGATTATATATAAATTTTTGCTTCAGGTTATATTCATTTATTGTCAAGAACATATACCATGAGTAATTGAAAAAAGATATAGCAATATACATGGCTGCCATCTATATTAATAAGAAATTTATGCCATAAGTAAGAAAAATTAGTATATAAATAAAATAATTTTTGCAATACACTTAGTGACACTAACAAATCTCATATATACACCAAATTTGTATACAGAAAAATATATGTTTCTTACTAAAGTATAAATTGAGTATAGAACTTAAAAATTTCAGAAAACATTTGAAAAAACAAAATATAATATGTTGGCATAAGTCCAGAATAATAAGGGCAACATCAACGATAGTTAAATATGTATTAACAACTACCCGGCACATGTTAACAATAAAATAAATATAACAACATCATAACCAGAGAAATAAGAAATTGTAAAGATTAAAAAATAGATTTTTTGATAAAGAAAGGCAAAGACTAAAATAAAAATCTAACTTCTGCGGACCTAACAACATTATACATGATTTAAATAAAAAACATTAAGAGAAGAAAGAGACAATAAATAAATATTAGTATAAGCATAAATACATACTGAAATAAACGAATGACATAAAACATAGTATTGTATCAATTAAAGTAGAAGGAATTTATATTCATAAAAAACACATTAAAAGAAATAGATAAATTAGAACACAAAATGTTTCATATATCAAACAAACATAACATTATAAATAAATATTCAAAAACATTTCAACCAAATAAAATTAAAAAACTGAATACATGTCAATAAACCACTGGCAAAAGGATAGATCAAAGAAGGCAACCAAAATTACTGAGCAGCAGAAATAGAGGAAGGGAATATAAAAGAGGCGATGTGATTAGTAACAAAATGCTAGTATCATTAACGTTTTTAAGCAGTGAGAAGGCAGAGAAAATAAAACAAGATAGATATTGTTATTTGAAAAACGAAGAGAAAGAAAGAGTTAAAAAATATAGCAATAGAATAACATACATTATATATACAGAAAGTTACCAATGTTTTGCTCAATCTCGAATACAAATTCCTGCAAACAAAAAAGAATAGAAGTAATGATTAATTAACGACAGCCGTCACATAGCATGAAGAGCACTGCAAAACATAGCCTGTAAATAGCAGACAGTCAAATTTTAGATAAGCATTATACAAAACCAAAATATAAAAAATGCACGTGTCAGAATAAAGGATTAACATAAATATTAATACAATTAGATCACAATAAATATATAGATTTGCCCAAATTCAAAAATCATATTTTAAAAAATACGAAAATATCATTATATAGTAAACAAAAACAGGGACGAAAAAATAAATAGCAAGAAAAAAAAATTTTAAATATGAAAAAAACAACAAAGGTAAAAAATTTTTCCAAATATACCGGCCAAAAACCAAATAAATGAAAAACCATGAACAAAAGAACATAACCCAAAACACCCACAAATATCATAAGAAGAAAAATGGGAAAAATAACTGCAAAAATGAACTGAAAATCAGAACCCATAAAACTAACAAAGCTAAAACAAACATGAAAAGATAGTATTGTGTAAAAACATAGATATGAAATAAACGACCAAACATCAAAAAAATAAATTGTATAAAAACATAGATCTGAAACAAATAACCAAATCCATGAAATCCAAAAAAAAAAAAAGGCAGAAAAACGAAGACGAATATAACAAATGGCGCAAGGAAATAGAAAACGAACATGCATATACAACCAAAGGGAAAAAAAATGTAAACATAAAATAGCCAAAAATATATACGCAGAAATAAATAAGATGGGAAGTAAAAAAATCTGGTCCATAAATGAAAAAAAAAATTATGTAGAAGGTTGCAGAAGACAGCAAACGGAAGAGAGAAAAGATGCTCCAAAAAAGAAGATAAAAAAATTAAACCCAAAAATATATACGCAGAAATAAAGATGTGAAGCAAAATTGAAAAAAAAAAGATGTAGAAGGTTGCAGAAGGCAGCAAACGGAAGAGAGAAAAGATGCTGCAGAAACGAAGAAAAAAAAAAGCAAATGTAAAAGGTTGTAGAAGGTAGGAAATGAAAGAAGGAATGAAACGAAAATAAAATAATTAAATCATGCACATCTGAGTGCAAATGACCAAAACGGTCATAATAAACCAAAACAAATAAAATTGAAACAAAGGGCAATATAGTAATTGCACATTAAAAAAGACATAACGGGAATAAAAATTCAACAGAATAAATAAATAAGGTTAAAATGGAAAAGATATTGTTCATTATACTGTAACGTGAACAGTGAAACCTTTCATTTCCTTTAGTATATGTATAATGTACTTTAAATTGCCAATTGAGATTAGCTCAAATTGTCTTTAGTGTGTGTAGTAGATGTGCGAGTTGTTTACGATGTTCTTGTACGGTAAAAAAATTCCAAACCTTACGCTGGGCATTAGATGGGGCCCACATGTCATAAATGAAGATATTTGATTATCGGAGACAGCTTTGTCCTAACTGTCACATGGGACGAAAGTTGCCCTAACTGTCACATTGGACGAAAGTGGTCTTGGGGGAAAAATGCAAGTACAGCAGAGTAGCGTTCAATTGGGTAGCACGCAATTGAGATTAGCTCAAATTGTCTTTTAGTGTAGTGGACGTGTGAGTTGTTTTCGATGTATTAACAGAAAGCAAAAAAAAAAAAAAAAAAAAAAAAGGGACTCGTTTAACAGTCATGGCAATATCAATGACTTTTTATTACTCAAAAATTGGTAATGCATTTTATAACAAATCTGTGTATCAAAACATAGAGAAACCTTATAGAATTTCTAATGATTGAAGCATCTCTAGCTACCACTAAGTTCAATTCAATCACAATATATAGTAACCAATGGTGAGTTTGCAGCCTCTTTTTTTGTTATATGCAAGAAAGAACTATGAAGTCCAAGCTCTCTTTGAAAAGAAAGAAAGAAAAAAAAAAGAAACGAAAAAAAAGGAAGATTATTGTAGTTCTTTATTGAGCGTAAAACAACTAATGTTTCATAGTATTATGATCCATGCTCAAAATTCAATCAATCAATCTATTCAACATCGAAATTCTCATAGAAATAGTTAGTTACAACGGTTATCTTCTATAAGCTAATAATAAAATTAAATTTCAATTAAAAGTATAGGTTGCAAATTAGTCATTCAACAGTACTGTTCACTCAACATTTTCACCTCTACACTACAAATATTCTTTTCGCTGAAGCTGAAAGGTTCTCAACTAGATCAAATAAAACTTCATCTGCACCAAACTGCAATGATCTCATAATACATGAGCATGTCAAAAGGGGTCTTACCTCTCACTATTTGCAAGTACATACTTCTCCTACCTTATCAACCGGTGGTTCATTAGAAAGATCCAATTTTTTCTTGTACAACTTCAACAGCTCCGGAGCTTCCTCCTCATAAGGCACCACGAACTTCTGTAAGAACTTCTTCTCTGAAACAACCAATAACGCATGAAAGCTAACCTCCTTCTTCACCAAACCTTTTGACAACAAAAATTGAAAAACCGAACACCTCGGGACTACTCTCTTCTTCAAGCTCAGTCCAAAGAGTGCTGGACATTTAACCAAGAGGCAAGGCCTCCAACCCATTTGGTTGATGAAAAAATCCATAGATGCCATAATCTTATCTTTAGATACTATCATGCACCAAGGACTGCATTGGAAGGCTTTCAAAACATCTTCTTCAGACCAACCCCACTTCTTATACGCATCAACCTTACTTTCCCACACCGATTCACTCATTGACAGAAATGCCCTCACCGCCACAACAAAGTTTAACTTCGATGCATCAAACCCCATTTCCACCACTTTCTCCACAATCCCTCTAAAGCGATCTAAACTACTTGTGAAAGCCCTGGGCTGGGAGACGAACAATGTTGCAATATTTGAGTCAGGCGCTCCATATTCTCGCAAAATATTGATGTTAGGTACAACATATTTCTCAACATCTTGTGCAAGAATGTCTGGAAACCTTTTGGCAGCTGCAATGGTCTTCTCATTAGATTGAAACAAATTGCTAATGAAATCATATGTGGGTATAATCTGTTTAGTTAAACTACGTCTCAAAAAGTTAGGATATACAGATAGCACTTTGGCCATTTCAGGGCCAGAAAAACCTTTGGATGTCAAAAACTCCAACTTGGGCAAAATAGTTTTCTCAGTATCCGATACGAGTACTGCTGGGAATATTCTAACGAGGGATGAGATTTGGGTCTGAGTGAAACCATAAACCTTGAAAACCTCAACGACTTTGTCTGGTTTATCAGGACTATCAAAATTAAGATACTTGGAAGCTGATAAAGCAGCTTGTGGGGAGAACCCAAGTGAGTTCACGAGATACGACACTGTAAAAGATTGTTGATTTGAACTACTTGAGAAAAATCTTAGAGGAAAAAAATCTGGGTTTTGAAGAAAACCCGGAATACAAGTTGGTGACAAAGTTCTTACATAACAACTTCCAAATAGAATGGTTTTGCGGAGAAAATTAGACATGGGATTTGGAAACGAAGAGGTATGAAATGAACTTACAAATTGTTGAGAGCCAATTGTCTCTGCCACTGAGAAAATCTTGGCTTCGGTGAGGAAGTGGGAGGGAACGATTCTAAGGTAAAACCCTAAATCGGAAACGGAAAGGTTCAAGCTTCTTACCAGACTCGTCCTTAACCTCGAGATGTCGTTCTCGTCTATACAATAAATGGCATGACGTTCATTTTCTTTTGTCACGGACGACATGTCGTTAAGGATGTTGCTTTTTTCATTCTAAACGACGTTGTGAATTGATCAAAACGATATGTCATTTGACAGGCTTTTTGTTTTTTTTTTTTGGAACAAATATCACGTTTGTCCTCTAACTGTAACTGTAGACAGTGTTACAAAATGACTTTAAATTTTAATTTGTAACGTCCATTTTCTGAACTTCAAAACTTTTACAATTTTTTTCTATATGTAAAATTTTTGACGGAATATGACACATGGCAGTGATTTACATAAATGTTATGATATTGAATGTGCAATTACGTAATTGCCCTTAAATTATACAATGGGAGTTTTTCTTTTTTCAAAAGCTCTCAACTTTCTTTCTTTCTTTTTTTTTAATTGAAAATGCTTCGCATTAAAACATTAGGATAACAAATCTTTCGTCACAAATTGGCATCCAGTTGAAGAGGCTACAGAGGACGCTACACTTACAGTCTGTTTGATATGATTGAAAACTGAAAGGAAGGAAAATATTTGAGGGATTTTATGATAGAAATTGATAAATTAAGATGTTTGGTAAGAATGAAGTTTGGATGGAAATGAAATTTAGGTGAAAAAACTAAAGAGTGTGTCCCATTATATTTCTTCTTTCCACAAGTGGGTGGAAAATGAAATGAAAAATGCGGACAATTAATTAAAGTGAGTAAGATTAGCAAAAAAAAAAAAAAAATTAAAGTGAGCAAAGTTATAAACTACCATTTTCTCCATCAACATCCAAGCAAAAAATTTAAGCGGCAATTTTGAAAAAATAACCAAGCAGGTGCTTTGTATTTGCTAATGTATAGTAGTTGTATGAAAACCCTATCTCGTTGTATTTGAAATTTTATATTTAATGCATGATAGGTTGAATGTTAATGACAAATGGTGATGCTAAATTATTTTTATTGCTTTTTTGGGAACTAAAAAAGATATGGTTAATATTACTTGGATAAAATGGTAACTGTTTATGTTGTTTTATCATAAAGTACAATTTTACTCATTGACATTATTTTCACAAATATTATTCATGAGTATAAAAATAATTTACGAGTAAGATTTTATCTTTCTTTCTAATTTAACTTCCAATACCAAACAAGTGAAAGTAAGCTCATTTTTTTTCCATCTTCTCGTACTAACAACATAAAAGAAAATCAATTTCCTTTTCATCATTGTTATTTTTCATCACTTCCATATTTCTTTTCTATCCTATTTTCATAATTAAAACCATAACTAAAATTCTAAAAAAAAGTTTTTTTATCTCACTCTTTTCAGCATACTTCCCATACCTTGCAATGTTTGCTTCCTTTCAATGTGTAATTTGTACATCTCCATTACACAAACTTCTGCAGGAACTTCTCTTATGAAACTACGAAAAATGCATTGAAACTAACCTCCTCCCTCACCAATTTCTTTTTTTCTATGCTTCCCACAAAATAAAAAAATAAAAAGAAAAAGAAACAGATTTGTTGAGTGAGTTGGTAAATTGGATTTTGGTACAAAAGTTTGCTGTTCCCAAGACTTTATTGTTGTGTTTTGTAATCAAATGTACTTGTGCATCTAAACCTCAGCAAACATATTTTGGTGACTCACAAAAAAACATATATTGTAATCCAACAAAAGAAACAGATACATATAGAGGTCCTTTCACTTTAGAGCATTTTATTTTATACTCCGACTCGTACTTTCTCAACTCTGAGTGCTTGAGTATACACTAATATGGGATGTTTGTTTCAAAAGTCCGTCTCTGATTCTGAATTATAATTTTTGATTCTCTACAGTGTTTTTATTTCATAAAAATTTTAAATTTTAAAAATTAAAATCATGAATTATGATTTTAAATTCATGAACTAAACGTCCTATATATTTGATGAATGCTTAATGAGCCGTGCATTTTCAAAGCAAAGATCGTGCATATTTGAAGTAAACACCATAGATTGATTTCCGCATAAAAATTACAAACAGAAACTCCACTCCTGGATAGCAAACAGGAGGGGAAGAGTTAAAAATTTTCAATTGGACCAATTTGTCAAGGGAAAATTACTGTAGAATATTTGCCTGCTGGACAATTCTTTTTTTTTTTTTTTGTCATTTCGCTCGCTGGACTCCATCTTCTAAATAGAATTCCTACATTAATGAAAAAATTAGGACCCGTTCAGTTTACTGATTTAAGTTTTTAATTTGAGTTAAGATGTGACTTTATGTGAGAGCTTTTTATTGTAGTAAAAAAGTTAGATGTGACTGCTTCTGAGTGCTTTTTACTGTAGTAAAACTCGAATTCTAAACTTGAATCAGTGAAATGAACGGAGAACTCGAGCGAGGATTCACAAAAGAAGATCGGTTTACATCCATGGGAGATAGTGCACGAAGAATTCTTAACTTTCTTGTTCGTTGGGATTATTGGGTTGTAAAATGTGATTATATGTAATAATTTTTTTAGTGTATGTAGTATTTCAGTTTATTATCCATCACTATTTATAATTACAAGCCAATTAGTTATGAAAATAAGTTTAGAAAATAAAAAAAAATAGAAACATCATATTTATTTCTTAAATAAAAATAACTTAATATTTATGGTTGCAGGCATAGCCTAACGGTAATTACACACCTAAGTCCATCATAAGGTAAAGAGTTAGATTTTCCCCGCTCTCAAAGTTTCAAAAAAAAATGCCGTTTTTTTTGTGTTTTTTGGTAAATAACCTAGGTTAGGAAAATGTTAGTTTTTAAAATAGTTAATGATTGATTGAATGATTTATGATTTATTACTAATTAATTTGGTGTTTAAGCACTGATTGAATAAATCCATATTAGTCAATAATTAATCAATATTAATCAGTTATTAACCATTGATATATTATGATTGATCATCATACACCAACCTAATGAAAAATAATCTTATAACTTTAAAAATTAGAATCTTCTTCGGGACGTTAACATAACGGTAGGTTAAGTTTTCTGTCCGTTACATCTGCATAAAATTACATAAAAATCAAATAATACGTAAATTTAACAGTTAAAAAAACCTGACATATCAGTACGCCATACGTATAAGAATCTCCCTAAAAAATTATGCTACTAATCAATTTTTTCTTCATCAAAAAGCACAGCTATCAAGGAGGGAGATACACAGGAAATGCTTATTGGAATGGTCTCCGAATCCTTTTAAGTTCTACCTATGCTCATCCCTGAATATCTCGTTTAAAAGAGTTACCGTGACATCAAAGAAAATTTTCAGCCACAAATCTGGCATCACAATCGTCGTTTCTTCTTTATACAGAACACACAAACTTTTCACGTATAAAAATATCAGGGCTTTCAACAATCACAGTCATTCGAAGACAGATAACTCAGATCAAGCTCAACCACATTCAGTTTATGTATGTTGTTCTTTTAGTTTGAGACTAATTTTGCTTTCTGTATAGGCTCCACAAATACTAAATAAGTTTACCATCTGCTCAACTATTTGAAATCTGATTGTGTTTTTATATTAACTAAAGAGACTAATCAGTGAAAATGTTGCTTAAAATGCATGCTTCAAACGACTGAATACGATGAATTTGCTCCCCAAGTTTGATTAAATTTGTGAACTTTTGTAGCGCTTGATGATTATTGATTAAGCACCTTGTTCTTAATCTCCTCCTTTTTTCCTGTTCATTTAAATCCCATAATAAAATATAAACTATAGACATATACTAAAATGACACATCCCATAGTCACCTCAAAAAAAGCTATTAGTTGTAATGGGTTATACAAAATCAGCTTTCTCAATAAGAATATGGTTTCAGTTCTGCGGCTATGAGACCATATGTTTTTGTATCAGATCCCAAGTTTGAAATATATCTTAGAATATTGGAAAAAGAAAAAGTTGTGATTTCTCATTCGATAGTCAAAATAAAGCCGTTGCATACAGTACATAGATTTGGACTGATATAATTGCCTTAAGTTCTTTTCACGACTCAAATCATAACTTATTTTTATTATTACAGTATTTTTTCTCATAAAAATTTAAAATTAATTGTTTTTACTGCAGTATTTTTCTCTCACATATACAACTGAAGTTCTACAACTGAAGTTCTTAACTTGAGTTGTGAAATAAGTGCAAAAACAGTTGTAATCCAATGTGAAAAGTGGACTAAAACTTAGGCTAATAGACAAAAGGCCGGTAGCAAAGAAGGGTGAAAGTGCTAGGTTGGTAGCAAAGATGCTAATTAGTGGAAACAGACAAAACAGGCCACCTAAAAGGCCACTTGATGATGATCAATTTTTAAAAAAAAAGCTTAGATTCATTGCCCTTCATGTGACTAATGTAAAACTCAATTGATGGTGATTTGGTGGTGTCAAATGCAGATAATAATAATAATACTTTAGGTCATGTAGATGTGCCTCAAAATTACAATGTTCCCCCTCACGTGACATCCAATTTTGGGAGCATGAATTCAATGAGTCACAAGAAGAACAATTGTGACCGCCAATATTAATGGCATTTTAAATGCATTCCAATTGAGAACATAGGGAACGAAAAAAAAAAAAAAAAAAAAAGGGAAAGAAAGAAAGATTTTCTCAAGTACAACTGGGATTTACATACTTTTTTAGTACAAAATTTTTTGTAGAATTGGAGGAACTTCTGGAGCACTAACTACATACATTATATTTCTAGCAAAAAGAGAGAAAATGGTAAAGAAAAGTACCACACATCTCATAGACTGTGAAGAATGGGAAATGACCAAACTCCAAGAAGTACTGGGAAGTAGAATCTAAACAGTATAATTGAGACTTTTATTATCCCCTAATTCACATTCTTAAGGAGTTGCGCAAAGCCATACATATGCTGCTAAACAAGCAAAAGCAGCCAAGTATGAAGAGTTAAGTAAGCCTCTAGTTGGTGCTGTGGAAACCGCCTGCATTGATCCGAACGGCGAGAATGCGGGCCCCAACGCGGCGAAGTCGTCGGGATTCGGAGGACTCGGATTGGAGGGAATGGTGGAAACAGAGGAAGAGGTTGGAGTTGGCACAACACCACCGGGTGAAGGCAAAAGTGGGGTGATCTCCGGGGACAATTCTTGGAAAGAAGGAGGCGGGTTTGTGAAGAGCATTGGAGGGGAAGAAGGGAGAGTTGAGGCTTTAGAATTGAGCTGAGAAGAAAGAGAAAGGGAAGGCAAGGCTGAGAAGGCCATGATTAGTACTAAATGGAACCAAAAAGAGGCCATTGCCAATGATGAAAGGTATCAATATGTGGCTTAGTGGAGAGTGCCTTGCTAATATATTGTGTTGTTTTTGAGTGTTGTGAGAGAGTTTTCCTTGGGGCAAAAAAAAAAAAAAAAAAAAAAAGCTCAAGAGAGATTGGGATGAAGGCTTTTTGGTGGAAGTTATGATTTGGGGCTTTTTAAAGGTATGACTAGAGGCACCTAGGTGGGGTCATGTGCCACGTGGCGGGTGGGAACTGGATGATGATGAGAAATACAGGTTGGCATGTTTGGGGGAAGGACAAAGATGAGTAGACCTTTTTTTTTTTTTTTTTTTTTTTTTTTTTTTGGTTTTAGAAATGATTTGTTGAAGTAAGAGAGAGTGATTCTTTTTTGGTCTTTCGTTTTTTATTTTTTACTTGTCCCGTGGATCTTGGCGTATTCTGTTTTTTTTTTTTTTTTTGTTGATAATTTCTTGGCGTATTCTGTTAATCCGGAATCTAAGGAACTAGATTGAGTTAACATGGCTAGAATGTCAAAAATCACCCTTTACTGTGTCAGTTTGTTGATGAGTCGGTAATTTGGAAATCATTGAAAAAGTTGGGAGGAAATTTGTGGATGGGCTCACAAGCGAAATAAGAAAAGTAGCTATTATTACCAGCCTCGTGGGTTCAATCATCTATAACCATGTAATAAACTAAACGAAATAAATACATTAAAAAATTTTGATTAAGACAAAAATACCAATGCAATCTGCCACTTCAAATTGGTAAAAGAACAAATAAGCCAACTTGGCTGACAAAGATAGTAAAGTTAGTGAAACTAAAAGGGACGTTTATTTTCTATATTCGTCTTTGATTTTGAATTATGATTTATGATTTTTTACAGTATTTTTTTCTCATAAAAATTATACGTAAAACGAAAATAATTCTAAATTATGATTATAAATCCATTAACCAAACGTCCTCTAATTGATTCTCAATGATAAAGGTCCTTTCTTTTTACCTAAGTTAAAAAAATTTGAGTTAAAAAAGTGATTTAAGTGAGAAAAAAATTATAATATAAAAAATTAAATTTAAATTTTTATGAAAAAAAAATACAACAACAATTATAATTCGAATGGTAAACGAACCGGACAAATTTAATGTAATAAACTTCAATCTGGACAAGTTTGATGTACGAAACCTCAATCTGAGCTTTATTATTTTTTCCCTTTTTTATCTTTTTCCCAGTTTGTCATGTGACTTCTTTTTCTTTTTCTGAAAGGAATTTAATCATTTATGACGTGACTTCGAATTGATAAGTGAGAAGAAAAATTGCCACAGTAACCAAATAGAACGTCCCAAACTCGGAAAAAATGAGCAAGAAAAAATAGAAAATGATTAATTTGTTCATACCCCATGTAAATTAGGATGAATCCGTTTATAATTTTCAGGGCACGACTGATCAGTGGATTCTTTTCTTGTTTAAATTCTAGTCAAAAAATAAAGAGAAGATGGGATATTATGAGGTAAAGATTGATACATAGCGGAAAAGAGTACAGGAATTTTAGCGAATTTCTCAAATTCAAGTTCTAACAGAACCCAAAAAGGAATAATTAAAAAAAAAAAAGAAGAAAAAATACACTTACATGAGAACGGAGATACAAGGTATACAGTGATTAAACTATGGCCCGAGACGAGCAAAAAGTAACTGAAAATACTAGGCAGAGAAGGATTTTGTTGACTCGCCAAAATGAGTCATTGACCTTCTCCCTATACGGTCTTCTGATATACTATGCACGTCTTTCTTTCATGCTCTTCTGAAAAAGATCAATTACTCTGAAGTTCCTGCATGAAAATAAGAAATGTTTTATGAATATTAAGATACGTTTATTTTACAGCTGAGTTATGACTTCAATTATGTACGTGAGAAAAAAATATTATAATAAAAAATTTAAATTTAAATTTTTATAAAAAAAATATTATAATAATAAAATTGGAGTTATAAAATGAATAAATCCTTAATTATCAAGAACGATGATTTGAATCACGGCTTAAATCTTTTTACTATAACATTTTTTTTATAAAAACTTAAATTTTGGTTAAAACTTTTTGATTTAAACTCATAACCAAAATGAATCGTTTGGTTCATGAATTTAAACCGTGATTCATAATTTAAATTTTTTATGAGAAAAAAATAATATAACAAAATTAAAAATCATGGTTTGAATGTGTAAAATCCTTCGGTCCCTAAGAAACATAGAAAGAGGGTAAAGAAAAGAGACCGTACAATTGCCGGGATTTCAAATGCAACGAGGCAGGCGCTGTAACTCCACGGCAACAAGTGAAGCAGCATTGGCTAGACCGGGAATTCCAGAGCTTTTGAGGTCAGACAGAATGGCTTCAATCTTTGAAACTTCAGGTATCGATATGGACAGTATCATTGCTTGTGACAAATACAGCTTACAAGCGTAGCCAAGGGCGTGTAGCATTCGCTGCACCAGTAAGTGAGATATGCCTTTACTCCATGACTCAAGAATTGCGCTGACCTTGGGGAGTTTGGTTAGCAGACCAGCAGTGGCTTCCCTTGGAGCGGCTTTGAGCAGCAAGATCACACATTCAGAAGCTATATCCGCCATGGTTGCTCCCTGGAGACCACACAACTCAAGCAAAACCGAAACGTTGCTTCCAAAGTCTGCGATATCTCTTATTCCATGCTGCTGATCCACTGCGCCGAATGCTTCGGGAGAACAATCACCTAAAAGAGCAGGTTCTTTTGTGTAGATGAAGTCTCTCCTGCCAGTGACTGCTCGGCGGAGAAAAGCCTTGCAGAGGCCAAGTGTTGGTTCTAGAAAGTCTTCCATATCCTTTGCATAGACGAACTCCAAAAGATTTGCGATCCTCCTAACCACCTTTAAGTCGGAGAGTAACTTGGATTCCATTTCAGGAGCAGATGCCAGAGCAAGGCAAAGCTTGACATTGCTAACATTTGCATTTGAGAGATCACCAAGCAAGAACTCAAAGCACTGCGAAATTGTCTTTAGATGTAGAATGTCAGAGATTTGAATGTAGTTGAACTCGATGAGCATCACGAGAAGCTTTTGTGCATACATGGGAATGGGGTCTTCGTCTTCGATCAAGGAGGGATAGAGAGGGAGGAAATGCTTATTGGAAATGGTCTCCAAACCCTTCAACCGATGATCATCTTCAAATCTTTCGTTCAAGAGAGTAACCATAACATCGAACAAAATTTTCAGACACAAAAATCTGGCGTCACCATCCTTGTTGCCCTTATACAGAACGGCCAAACTTGGGAGAATTTCACGGATAAAAATATCAGGGCATTCAACAATCACAGGTGATTCCTCTGACACAGATTCAAGTATTCTGAGAAGGGTTATTTGGAAGTCATCCCTGCCCTGGAAGTCAAACGGAAAGATAGATAACTCAGATCAAGGTCAATCACATCCAATTTATTTTGATTGTCTTTACTGTTGAGACTAAACTTCTCTCTTTTAAGGCTCTATGAATACAGCAAGTTTACCATCTACTTTAGGATGACCATTGGCCCACTAATCATCCAGAGCTATAACGGGTGTTTATTTCAAACACTCTAATTCCTTGTTTCCAGAAATGGGTAAGAGTTCAAAAATTAGTTTCAATTTTAATTATTTTAAAATCTGAATGTGTTATGTAGCCAGTTAAAAGCTTGAAAGGACTACTCAGTAGAAATGTTGCTTAAAATGAGTTGGAAAAGATCGAAAATGCTCAATCTGCACAGTTGAAGCTACCTACCTGAAAAGGAGTCTCTGTAAGTTTGATTAGATTTGCCAACTGTTGCAGCACCTGAGCATTAACCACCTTGTGCTTGAAAGATGAGCTTCCAAGAAAATGAAGAACCACCGGAAGTAATTGAATGTTACTCTTTGGAGCAGCTCGACTAGTAAGGGCAGAAAAATGACCATGGCGTCTTCCTCCCATCAATTGCTGAACTTCTCCAGTTATGATATCCAATAAACCGGAAATCGTAGAGGCAACAACATTTACGAATGCATCCAAGCACTGCTGCAGAAATCGATCCTTCTCTTTTGCCAGTCTGTCCACCACAGAAAGAAATCTTGCATTGCAAAAAAATTGTGGTAGCCACCTCCTACCATTCTTGCAAAGGAGAGCAACAAAAACAAGTGCCTTCCCTTTCAAAACTTCACTTCCATGCTCAATAATAGACAAAATACCCAGGACAAGATTCTTATCCTCTGCTAATGGTAAAAGATACTTGCCAATATTTGTGAACATATGACTTCCAATCATGGCCGTATTTAGAAGGTTTAAGCTGATTTGCTGCTCCCTTAGACTACCCTTGACAAGGGCAGATGCCATATCTTTGAATGAGAGTTTTTCTATGACTGATTGAATGCTTTGAGGATTGAAACAAACTAAGCGGACCAAACATGATCCTGCTGTAAGCCTCATGGTCTCCTGTTTCCCAGCAGCCCTATATATATAACACAAGTTATTTATCAGATCCAGGCTGGTGAAACGAGCCACCCAGTGCGCTCCTTGACTAAAAATGTTTTCGATAGTCCTCAAAGCATAAAGCTGAGTTATATCATCCTCTCCTTTTCGTAGAATTGATGACACCAATGAGATCAGTGAATTTGGAACCTGTTACAAAGAAAGCATGTCAAGAAGTAAAATTTAAACCAAGGAAAAAAAAAAAGATTGCGTAAATGAAACAAGCCATCCAACATACAAAATTAACCAAAAATATCGTTCATGATACTCAAATCATATGTAGAAAAACAATATAAAGTTTAACTAAATAAAAATTACAATAGGGTTTTAACTTGAGAAGTAGAAACATGGTTAACATCGAAGAGCAATCTAGTCTGACATGATCCAGTGCATAAACAATGAGCTTATTAAAATAAAGTTGGAAGCTAACCTGCCACCCAGCCGAAGACCGGGTATCCTTTGATGGAGATTCTAACGGATTCTTGTCTTTGGTATGCTCATTTTGGGTTGATAAATAGAATAGCAGCTCACCTAATGCAGCCATTGAAAATCTCCTCACCTTTTCCTGTTTATCTCTTAGCCCATCAGTAAGTGAACCTAAAATTCCAGAATTTGCCAAACTGTCTTCAATAAAAGTAGAATGCCGAATCAATAAACCAATCAATGAAGCAAGTTGGATTCGCAAAGCCGAAGTCTTAGACTGTCGAAGCATTTTAACAAGCATGAGCATTATTGGTCCATTGGTCAACATATTGGCTGCATCAGCATTAGTGCTCAACATTTCAAGGTATCTGATTACATTCTGTTTCTCTGAAATGCTACTGTTTCCATGTAATATGGCTATAATCTTATTATTGAGTGCATCCAAATGCTCCTTAGACTTTTTCGCAAACTCAGATACCTGCAATGCCTCAAAGGGAAGCGAAGGAATCACATCTAGCACTTTGTCAGATTTTCTACTGGGCATTACAGGTCTAACCGAGAGATCTGTTGCATGCCAAAGAACCTGTAAAAGATTATCAGATGATTTTGTAGAATCAGATTCAAGAACAGATTCCACGCCTTCTTTGATTCTCTGATTCTTAAGTTGTGGACTAGCAGTTGGTGGAGTTGCAGCCACTTCAATGTGTTCTTGAGATGATTCCTGCTCAAATTTTCTTGGTTCATCTGAGACGTCTGATTGCTCTACAATTTCCATGTCTTCAACTTTTCCATTATGCTGATTTTGGTTAGACAACTTATCTTCAGGTGTACAAGCTTGGTTGTCAGATCCATCAGCTTCGTCATGTCCTTCATCTTCATTGTTCTCATTAAAATCAAGTTCCATATCAGTGTTCTCAATTTTGACTTCAGAATCATTTTCCGAATTTGTACACATGGGCCTTCGGTAGTTTTCCTTGTCATTCTCTCTCTGCAAATTTGATTTTGCTATTCTCGAGAGTCTTAAGAGGTTCACACCCCTAGTATTACCAGACTTATTTCGTTGCTTCTCTTCAAGAACTCTGCCAGAAACTTTTGGTTGAGTTCTGCGACTGCCTGGAGTACTCTTAACAGGTGTCTCACTACCTTTTGATGTTAGATTCTCGTCCTGCTTGAGAGCTCCTTTTACATCTTTTTCACGAGATTTAGGAGGGGTTCTATTTTGGGAAGGTTTATCACCATTACGCTCTGAGAGACATGGCTTATCACACATTCCTATCATATTAGCAAAAGCAGGTTGAGGTGGTAATGGCACAGGGATTAGCTTGCTTCTCCAAAAAGCATGCCCACAAAGCTCTGACCACTGTATTCTTTCAGCTGGATCTTTTACCAATAAAGAATTTATTAGATTTACAAAAGGGCGGCTAGGAGAACCTCGTAAAGGTGGAGTTGGATCTGAGAGGATGGATTTTACTAGCTGAGTAAATTCCCTCCCAATAAAAGGAGGTATCCCTGTGTAGCATTCATATAGTACACAGCCAAGAGCCCAGAGATCAGATGCATATGAATGGACTCCTCCATCTTCAAACAACTCAGGGGCCATATAACATGGGGTTCCTCGTTTTGCTTGTGGCAACTGCATATGTGCATTAAGATGAAGCTAGATTAATTAACATATTTAGTAAAAACATAAAATGAATAAGTTTTGAAACCCAAAATTACAACAGTAACAAGAAAATGAAATGACCTACCGAGGAAGAAGGGACTTTTGATATTTCATTCAGTCTTCTAGCCAAGCCAAAATCACATAGCTGTTGTAAAAAGATAAAGGAATACCGGTTTTAAGTTTAGAAACAACATTAAATAAACAAATAAACCAACCAGATAAAAATTCCACGAAAGTTGTACCTTTGTCCTCCCATTCTCATCCAATAGGATGTTTGAAGGTTTCAAATCACCGTATATAATTCCTTTTGAATGTAAAAACCTGAATGCAAATTACCGTATTCAGAACGCAGCTCAAAAGAATAAAACGTGTACAATTCGATTAAGAAGCTGAACAATAATGAAGCTATTAAATAATACTTACTGCAAAGCTTTTAAAAGGTCATGAGCCAAATCATGGATTGAATCTTCCGGCAGCTGACCATCCTGCACCCATTCATAAAACTTTAGGAAAACAACGGCGAAAAGCTTCATCTGTTTTTCATCACTACTCTAGACGATGGGTTTTATGTCAGGGTACGAAACAAACAAAGCTTCAGACCGAATCAAAATAAGTTGCCAAATATGCACAAATTATGAAATTGGCAACCCAATATTCACTCAAGACTTCAAGTTTAACTGAAAACAGGGTCCCAGCAAAAAGACTAAACATTCTATTATTCACATGTTTTTACAAATTATTTTTCCGTGAAACAGGATCACCGTGATTTGATATATCAAAACGCTGACCTTAATCGACAACACCCCAACCCACCTCAATAATTTTACAGCATTTTTTTTTAAGAAAACAATAAATTTTATCATAAAGCATTTGAATTGTTGCTACATGAGCTAAGCAAGCATTCATATATACCGTTGTGATTATTTACAACTATCGGTATCAATTAACAAAAACTCCACACCAAAATTAAACCAAATTTCATTATTACCTGCTGTAACAAAGTTCTGAGATCTCCTCCAACACAATACTCCAAAACCAACCACAAGTGAGCTGAAGTTTCGTACCTGATGCACAAATTAAAGGAGAATTTTAGCCCAAAAAAATTCAAAATTCACATAATTTAATACTTAATCCCAAGACTGAAGCGTATATACACAAGTATCCATACCTAAACAAAAATCTAGATATACAAAAACTGCTATATATAGAGCAAAACTAACCAACAATAAAACTTCAAAACATTTGGGTGGCCAAGAGAATGCAGAATCCTAACCTGCAAACAGCATAATGAAGCAAAAATTACCGACAAAAAAAAAAAACAAAAACAAAAATTATGCGAAAGCCACACGATTACGAAACCGAGCAAAAATGGAAACCGATAATACAAAATACGAGCAAAATGACAGAAAGTAAAAGTTTACTTCTTGAAGAATCTTGTTCTTGTGCGATTTATCGACGCTCTTAATGGCGCAATACTCGATTGTCTTCTTCTTCCTCCCTTTATACACAGTCTGCACTAGTTCCCAAAAAAAAAACAACAACAACAACAACAAAAAAATCGAATTAAAAGCTATAATCTACTGAATCGTGGAGCAAGAAAAACTGAAGATTTGAAAATTCTGAAAAATCTGAAAGCGAAGGAATTGTATTACCGAGTATTTTCCTCGTCCAATGGCTCCATAGACGTGGTATTGATCCATTGTAGCTCGGCTCTTTTCCTCAGATTTTGAGGAAGAAACTGAGAAAACGAGAGAGAATTTGTGGAGAAATCTGTGGAGATTTGAAATGGCTTTTAGCGAGAAAGCTTTTGGGATTGTAGTAGTCAAAATGAGAGAGAGGTGGAGAGAGAAAAGGAGGAACTGTAGAGAGAGAGCGGGAAGATAGAAAAAAATTTCGATTGAAAATCAAATGGGAATTGGAATAAAAGAAGCCCAGTGTGGTTTAAGCTTTGTGGTGTTTCCAAACATTGGTGTTGCCAATTTTGAAAAGTGGGAATATCTTTAGTGCGAAAATTCACACCATTTACATTAGCAAAGCAAACGGTATGTCGACACGTGGCATCATTAAAACTTGATCAAAATTTTTTAGAACTGAGGCCACGTGATGCGAGTTTATTACTCCTGTGCCAGATACACCCACCCGCATTGTGAATGAACCCACTGCCATAAAGGTGGAGCCCACCGTGCTCTTCTTTTCCATGAAAATGCCCGTTATGATTTATGAAAATGTATTTTAACGTAAATATTATTTATTATCAGTTTATTCTTTAACGTAAATATTATTTAGGGTTGGATCCACAAAAAGTTCTTGAGGTTTACACTTATATAAGGCCCGTTCATTTTGCTGATTCGAGTTTAGAATTTGAGTTTTGTTACAATAAAAAGTTCTCAAAAATAGTCACATCTAACTTTTTTGCTACAGTAAAAAGTTCTCACACAACATCACATCTCAACTCGAATTAAAAGCTCGAATTAACGAACCGAACGGGCCCTAGTGTGTTTGGTATGAATGAAAAGTGAAAGGAAAGAAAATGTAGGAGGGATTTTGGGATGAAAATTAGTAAGTTAACTTGTTTGTTAAAAAGGAAATTGGGAAAGAAAAGAAAATTGAATGAAAATTGTAATTGGTGAGTCCCACTATATTTAATCTTTTCAAAAGTGGGAGGATTTTAAGAAGAAAAATGTGAATAACTACCTAAATAAAGTCAAAGTACTGAATTGTCCTCATTTTTCATTCAAAATTGGCTCCAAAAGTTAGCGCTTTTTTTTTATGAATAACTTGATTCACAGTAAGCCATCAAAAGAAAACTTTGATTCATAGCAAAGATATGATTTTGGGGTTTTATACCAGGAAATGATAAACTATTTTTCAATAATTATCTTATCAATTGCAGCTAAAAATTTGAAAGAGAGAAATGAGAGAAATCATATTGGCGCATATAGTATAATAACAATAAATATGTCAAAATATTTTTCTTTTTTTTTCAAAAAAAAAAATTCAGCTACCATTTTTCGTCACAATAATTACAATATTAATCAAGCCATAATATCATTAGCATTGCATTGGTAATATGTGTGTCTTGTATACATAAAAGGTTTTTGTTTTGTGGAAAATTTGGTGTGTGTGTGTATATATAATATAAATGGAATATATGTTTAAGTTACATGAATTTTTTGAGTTAATTTGATGTTGAATATTGTATTATTTATACTTTTATTAGAAAAGAATATTAATAAAAGATATTTGGGCAAAAAAGTAATTACACCAATAATAATTTTTCCATCTCTTTAGTTTCACTTCAAATACCAAACAATGGAAGGTAGATCCATTTTCTTTTTTTCTTATCATACCAAACAAGTAAAGGAAAAATCAAAATTTTTTCTATCATTCTAATTTTCTATGCATTATAGTTTTCCTTTCCCTTCTATTTTCTTTCCATCTTACCAAACATAGTGATTCGTTAGTGTATTCGTATCATAATTTGAATCATGGTTCGTGATTTGTTACATTATTTTCTCTCACAAAAAATACACGTAAATCAAAAATAGTTGTGAATCATGATTTTGAATCCATAAACCAAGCGTTCACTTAATCTCACTTTTATTTCTAACTTTTTAAACGTTACACAAATAATTCTTGAGGTTATATTTTATTTTAGTTTCAGTCATTCTATTAACTAGGCGTTAAAATTGGTTAGAATCCGTGTAAATTAGAGTCTAAACTTAGAAATATCTAAAATTTTGGGTTTATCTGTAGAAATTAATTTTTAATTTTTTGTATTGTTTTAGGTCTCGTTCATTTCACCAATTTGAGTTTTTAGTTCTAGGTTTCTACAGTTAATAACTCTAAAAAAAGTGTCACATCTAAATTTTTATGCTACAGTTAAAAGCTCTTAAAAAATGTCACATCTCAATAAAAATTGAAAACTCGAATCTGTAAATCTAACGAGACCTTAATCTTTAAACTTTATATGTTTCTGATTTTAGTCCGTAATTTATACATATTTCATCAAATATTTAACACTAAACTAATACAATGATAGAAACTGAAATAGAATAAAATTTTAGAGACCAATCATGCGAAGTTTGAAAAATCAGAGACCAAAGTGAAATTAAAACTAAAACTCATATACTATTTATGAGATTAACCCTATTATTTATCATCGGTTTATTGTTTGAATATAGAATGAGTAGTGTTTAGTATTGGTTCGAATAGGCCAATTTTAGCATATAACTAGTTGTTTACTCGCGCGTTGCAGTGAGAAATAGTCATAAGTTATACAAAAAATTGGTAATTTTTAGAATACATAATTAGTTTATATAAAGATATTTATATGTGGATATGTCTATATAATATTGTCATAAGAAGTCTTTCACAATGTATTTGAGCTTTTGCTCTCATTTATTATTCTGCATTTTTAGCTGTAAAATACAAATTTTGAAAAAATTAGTATTGATAATTGAGAAAGTTGAAAATATTTTGCGTATGTGTAATGTAAATTAAGGTATTTAGAAGTAGCTATATTACCTGGTTTTTTGACATTTTCTGGATTGCTCTATCTCCTTTAATTGAGAACTTGAACGATAAAAGGTTGTTCAGATATGTATTTAAAATCATAAATATTATTTTTTGTTGATAAATAATATAAACTAGTAAATGTATCTTACCTTGTGCTTGATTTTTTTAGATATGGTGTTTTGTGAATCTATTGATGTTGCAGCTGATATTTGTGGTTGTAGTATTGGACGTTGGACATCTATTGTCTTTGAGTAAGGACTGAAATGATAAAATATTATTCAGATATGTATTTGAAATAATAAATATTGTTTTTTATGTATAATTGATATAAATTGGTAGATATGTTTTACCTTGTTGTTGATTTTTTTGACCTTAGTGTTTGTGCATCTACTGATGTGGTGGCTGATATTTGTGCTGATGGTATTGGAGACTGAATATCTTCAAATATTTTTGAAACAATTGTACTCATTTGTGGTCCTCTCTCTTGAAAATATATTTGGAAGATTTTTGTTTATCCTCTTAGTTGATCAATGACTGGTGGGAACACAAATGGATCAGTGAAGGCTTGATCAATCGTTAATGTGGAGCGTGGTCTCTTGATTAAGGCTTGTGTTGGTCTGCCAAATATGGTGATATTTAGTAATAGTGTATTCGTAATTTTAATTACCATGGAGACGATGTTACGTCCATGACTATCACACCACCAATCAATGCCTGCTTGTTTTAATTGTCGGTAACATCTGGGGCAAGAATTATAGTACCGGCCTTGATATGCTGAGAATCTAGTTATTATAGCTCTTACTGTAAATTTTACACTCCGTATAAATGAGGAGAAGTTATTAGCTTGAATAGTGCAATTAAAGGAAAAGAAGAAGAGAAAATATTATAGTGCTAACCTGATTACTTTATTGATCTAATGTTTTTAGCTCATCGATTATTTTCTTGTTTTGTGTTTTATGTTCTTCAATTGATTGCATTGGTGTTATCGATGTTGTTAGGAACTCAATTTCTTGATTTTGGTGAGAGAATTTGTATATGTAAAGATAACAACAGGTAGGAAAAAAGGTAAAAAAAAAAAAGATTTTTGATATGTAATAGAATAAGTTTTTTTTTTCCGGAAATGTTGTGAATTATTTTAGTTACCTTATCTTTAATGTCCTTGTTTCTAGTATGTCTAGGTCAATGTAGAAAATCGTTGTTGCAGTGCTTGAGACATAAGGATTGCCTAAGATATTAGCAATAAATTGATTAATAGCTTGGCCTAGGTGTTTTGTTTGTATATGTAATTATCTTCATAAATTGTTCTTTATTTATCGATCTTCTATTCTTTGTTCTCTCTTTACTATTTCTAACCCTCTCGTGTATATCTATAATTTACCAGTAGAATTTGTATGATTCTTAAAAAGTGATGCTAACTTAGTAAATCTTGGATTTACTGTATATCTAGGATTTACTATTAGAGTTTGTACATGTTAACTTGATAAATCCTAGATATATCTGAATTTATCAAGTATATCCAAGTTTTGCTATTAAAATTTATACCATTCTTTTTCAAATGATTTTAATTTAGTAAATATTGGATATATCTAGATATACACAGTAAATCTAGATATATCCTAGATGTACCATTAGAATTTGTACGGTTCTTGAAAAAATGGTACTAACTTGGTAAATCTTAGATTTACCATTAGAGTTTATACATACTAACTTGGTATATCACAAATTTACTAAGTGTTGGAAGTCTGACTAACACCAGTTCACCGATCACTATTATGTCCATATCCTTTCGAATCGCCTGCACTTATCGAATGGCGTCCGCTGGCGATGCCAAATAGCCCAGACAAAATTGCCCTTCTTTTTGCCAACAATCCTTGGTATTGCTAAATCAGCATGTGTTCGGTGAAATGCTCCTTAGTATTGCTTTTGGGGGTGTCAATAAAAGAAAGTTACATGCATAACAACCTGTTAGAAGTCATCTCCACCCACCATTTAGGCGATAATACGACTGGTACCTATCAATGACACATGTATATACTCCTGACGAAACCGTACGACCGTACTATGAGACCCTGGATGGGTTGCAGGTTTGACCCGGGTCCAACAACAAACTATAAATACTCCTATTGGTCATTTACTGAAGTATGGACATTTCCTCCACCAAACGTTGCCCGCTCATTTATTGCTCTTAATGAGAACACTGACTTGAGTGTCAGAGAGCCATTGGCCGGCACCACACTAGTGTCTCTTGACTCTGAATCTCTTTTATCCTCTTCGTGCATGGTGACACCTCTACTGTTCCCAGACAGAGGAACATTAGACTAGGGTATCCAACCAATATTGGCAAAGGAGAAGAGTCCGACCATCATACGCAGTTGTACGTGTGTGTCAAATTTGAACAATAACACCAAATATATCTAAGATTTACGATTAAAAATTCTATTATTCTTTTTCAAGTGATTCTAAGTTGATAAATCTTAGATATACTTGGATTTATCATGCATAATGACGGTGAGAGATGGGGAAGAAATAGTGGTAGAGGCGGACAACGACAATGAGAGAGATGGAATAGAAAGTGGCGGAGGCAAACAACGACGGTGAGAAAATGACGAACAATGATGGTGAGAGAGGGGGAAGAAATAGAGTAGGGACCTATTTATCCCCTTCCTCCCTCTCTAAATTTATCTCATATTTTCATGTACAATGTTGCTTTAAAAAACTAACGTTTCCTTTCTTACATAATAAAAAACGTACATTATTTATTTTTCTATGAGGTGATTGTACATTTTAATATTTTTATTCTTTTAACTTTATATATATAACAATCTTTACGGTGCATCTCCTAAAACAGTGCACTCGTAGAGCAAGTTTTAGGAGTCAATCTAATGGTAGAAGATAATAGATCATTACCGATATATGCTTAGTTTGGTATTGCTTTTCCTTCCTAAAATCAACTTCTACTTGTAGCAGAAACTGATTTTAATATTTGGTAAATCTCATCAAAGTGCTTTTTGAAGAATTTTTCAAGAATTTACAGCCAAAAGCAGAAGCAGTCTAAAGACAACTTTAGCTTTTAGATTGTGCGGTAATCATCATAGTATAATTAATGAAACTTTCATAATACCCATAATACCCCTAATGAAATTTAAAATTTATAAAATTCTCAATCTAAAATTCAGACTCGTAATATAATATAATATAATATTAATATTATAATAATATTAATAACTATAATATTATTATTTTATCATATAATATGATATTATAATAATATTATAATTATTTTAATAATATGATATTATAATTATAATATGATATTATAATTATTATTTTATTATTATAGTATATTACACACGTTATGGTTATACAAAATATTAATTATAATATATTTGTTTAATATAATATAATAGTGATTATATAATATAATATAATATATTATATTATATTATAATATAGTTGTAATTTTTAATTAAATTATAACTGAAATATTAATATTTCTTATGTAATATTATAATATGTTTTATTATATTGTAATTATTTTAACCATTTTAATAATATTATTATATTCTATATCATAGTTATATAATATGTTATTTAATAATAGTTTTATTGTATTATATTAAATTTATAGTATAATACAATATAATCGTTATTTTAATTATTTCAGTTATTATTTTAATAATATTATTATATTTTATATCATAATTATATAATATGTTATATAATAATAATTTTTTTGTATTATATTAAATATAATAATAAATATATATTATATTGTAATTATTTATATTATATTATAGTATAATATAATACAGTTGTAATTTTTAACTATTTACAGCAATTTAACCTCATAATTTACCACACACTATTACACTGATTTTAGAACCAGCACAGCTATTATAATTATAGTTTACCAAACATTAAACTGCTATTTGTAACAGCTGTTTCTTTTTTCAGCACAACTAAAAGTAATTTTTTTAAAATCTATAGCACTACCAAACTAAGCCATAGTGCTTCTATTTGCACGGAAGTATTCCTTAAACTCGAAATAATTTAATTTTTTAAAAAAATTAAAATTCAACATAAAAAGAGCTGTGACTATAAGAACAAAAGAAAACAAAAAGATTAAAGGAGAAGATCGGCTAACATGAAGTTGATGATTAGAGAGCCGGCGTCGGTGCCGATGAAACTCTCAAGAAGATGAAGAAGTCGGCGAGTGTGAAATCTAGCATAGAAGAGTCCAATCATGGAGAATGGAGTACATTTCCTACATCAGTTGCATGCGATTTGCAAAAGGCATCTCATGTCAATGCTCTAGAGGAAAGAAGATCGCCGACACAAGGGATGAGGAAGATTGCCAGCGCCGGTAGAGGATAAAACATATAATGAGTATTTATAAAAAAAAATGATATAATCATTCTCGATTTACGTGTATTTTTTATGAGATAAAATACTGTAACAAATCATGAACCATAATTCAAATCATGGTTATAATCCCCTTACCAAACGGCTCATAATCTCATGTGCAGAGTTAAAATACATAGGACCCGTTTGGTAACGTTTTTAAAATGATTTTGTTTTCAATACAAAAGTAAAAGTGAGATTGTTTTGAGAGTCATTCTTAGATCGATTCTAAAATTGTATTTGGTTAGTTTTTAAGAGATTATTTTGAGTATAATAAAAAAGTGAAATCGTGTTTAGTTATAATTATTAATTAATATATTATAACATTGTTGATAAGCACTAGAAAATGAAAATAAAAAAGGAAAAACAACTTTTAACCGTTTTATAATTCCTTCATAAAAACCATTCTCGCTGTTTTTCATTTTCATTTTCGTTTTCAAAACATTTACTAAACTAACATGGTTTACAGACTGTTTTCATTTTTATACCTCAAAAGGTGTATAAAAACGTTTTAAAAAATAAGCAAAAATTAATTCTAAATTCACCCATAATGATACAATAATAACTTTTTTACCGTATAATTTTAATCAAACGGCTCCTAAACTTGCTCCACTAGTGCACTATTTTAAGAGGATGCACCGTAAAGATTGCCTATAGATATACAACAAGGAAAATATGGGTTCTTTTTTCAAAATAGATTTAAATAGGCATTGATCATTTCATAATTCAAGTTACAACTCAAATTTTATTATTACAGTATTTTCTCTCATAAAAATTTAAATTTGACTTTTTTGCTACAATATTTTTCTCTCACATACATAACTCAAGTTCTTAATCTGAGTTGTGAAATAAACATACCTATCGTTTACTTCGTGGATTCAAAATTTTAATTTGAGCTGAGATGTAACATTTTTTGAGAGCTTTTCATTGTAGCAGAAAAAGTTAAATGTGACATTTTTTGAGAACTTTTTACTGTAGAAATCTAAAACTGAAAACTCAAATCGGTGAAATGAATGAGGCCCTAATTCTCAAGTTCTTAACTAGAGTTGTGAAATAAACATACCCACAGTGATTCCACAAGTAAGATGTTTAGACTGTGCATGTTTGAACTCTTACACTTTCAAAGAGTTCCAACCATATAAACCCTCTAATAAGATTAAACCCTTCGAACTCAACTCATTTTGCAATGGGTTTATTGAGGGAAATTTACAAAATGGGGTTGGTAAATCATTCAAAGAGCTCATTCAAGAAATGAAATGACGAAATATTGGAATAGATGTTTTGATTTTGGTCTTAATTTCACAATGTCCTCTGAATTACGTAAACAATTGAATGCCCTTAAATTTTGAAAATATTCATTTTACCTCTAAATTATATAAAATTGTTTAAAAAACCTTCTGAACTAGTGTAATTTCGTAAATATCCCCTCAAACTATTGTTTTGCTCCAGCTTATACCTTAATTTTTTAAAAATAAAGAGTCAGTTGGTACAAAGTCAATTGTTCAGCTGCAGCTAAATGTTAAGAGCCCGTTTGGTTGGATGATTTGTTCTCTGATTCGGATCATAATTCATGGTTCACTACAATATTTTCTCTCACAAAAAACACACGTAAATCGAAAATGGTTCTAATCTCATGGTTCTAATCCATGAATCAAACGGACTCTAAATGTTGATGTGAAGACAAAGATCTTCAGTTATGTATATATTTTTTAGTAAAATTTCAAAACAAAGATCTTGAAACAATTGTGAGTTTTGTGTTTTTAAAATGTTAAAATTAAAATAATTTTCAAAATTTTTCTAATGATTTTTTAAGTAAACAATTCAATTAATTAAGGATATATTTGTTTTTTTTCTACAATTGATGAAGGATAGATTGAAACATATTTGTTAAATTTAAAGGATATTTTAATATTTTTGAAAGAAAAGAAGGATAAATTGAGTAATAATTAAAACTAGAAGGTATAAAATATAATCAATATATAATTAATCCTTAAAAAATGTTTTTTCTTTTCCTAAATCAGTCCCTTTTTCAACGGAAAAAGAAAAGAAATAAAGGAAGAAAAAAAAAAGAAGCAAGTGGACCTTTCAAGGCTTTACTTCACTGTTAAGGCAAGTAAAACGGCGTCGTTTCCTTCGAAATGGCAATCGCCTTGGTCATCATTTCCCCGTGCTTTTCCTTCGTCTCCCGAAAAGCCCTAAACCGACCAAACCCTCTTCTCTAATCGAGCTCCATCGTCTCTGCATCACTCGATCGATCGGAGATCAGCTCGGAACCATCTAAGATCGAAGAAAATATGAAAGCTTTCGGCTAATTATAGTCTTATTCGAGTCTTTTGGCTTAATTTATAAGGTAAGTTTCTTTGATTTCCGAAGAAATTGTTAAACCAAATAAGGTCATAATGTCACACAGTCTTCGAATTTTTCTTATTTTCTGGGCAACCAAACATTACGGAGATTTTAATGGAAAATGGGTGTTCGCGAACTCTTTTACCCAGTGTTTGATTCGTTAGTTAGGTTTTCAGGTGTTTCGGTAGCATTTGGGTTTACTTGAGCTAAGGAATTGCGCGTTTGTACAAATTTAGTAACAATTCGTGCGGGGAAATTGCATGATTATGTGGTTTTTTATAGTTTGGTATGGATAATAATCGACACGTTGTTGGAAATGGGAAAAAATTGTTCGACATTTTGGTGTGACTGGAAAGTAAACAGAACTTCGTAATTAGGTTTGAAAATTTTTCAGTTGACGACGTAGTATATATTTTGTTCCTGATTGAAGAAAGGTCAGAGCTTGAGTTGATATGCTGGGGATTTCTTTTTTAGTTTTATTTTTATTTTTTATTTTTTAATTTAAATAATTTTCAGTTCAAACAAGATGGCTGCGCCTGCGCCTTCGCATAATGTCGAATTGGAGGCGGCGAAGTTTCTGCACAAACTCATCCAAGATTCTAAAGATGAACCATCTAAATTGGCCACTAAACTTTATGTGGTCAGTGTAGTAACTTAAAAATCTCAATAATTGTTATTTCTTTCTAGGGTTTGGTTGTTTTTGGTCACTGTTTCTAATTTTGGTACGTTAAATATCAGATATTGCAACACATGAAGTCGAGTGGGAAGGAGCACTCCATGCCATATCAAGTAATATCGAGGTAAATATCTTATGTCCGGTTCGAATTATTTCGGTCATGTTTTGCTCTATTTTTGGAAATTATTTTAGGTAGATTTAATATTGTAAATCGAGTTTAGTTAATTATTCGATACATGCTTAAAAACCTCTGTCACTAAAGAGAATATTTGACTGTGTTGCTGTTCTCAGTTTAAATGGAAAGAACATAAAATATAGTGTTCAATATTTGTTGAGCTCAGAAGGATGTAGGATCCATGATACATTCTATTTATCTCACTAATGAAGGAAAACTCTGCCGTTTATGATGGCATTGATTGTGCGGTATAAGCTTTGTTTTGTTTTATGTGTTTTGTTGTTTTTTTTTTAATTTTTTTTTAATTTTTTTTTAATTTTTTTTTTAATTTTAACTCTTAATTGATTTGTCATTTGAATCTTTCTTCTGCATCTTTTTGTGCCTAATTGTTTTAACTTATCTTTCTTTAAGGGCCATGGAGACCGTCATCAATCAACATGGTCTTGATATTGAAGCTTTGAAGTCGTCACGCCTTCCTGCTGCTAGTGGAACTCAAGCAGCTGATTCTGCAACCACGCAATTTGGAGGTAATAACATGATCTTTTCAAAAACATCCATTGCTGCTCCTAGATTGCTTTTAAGAACTGCAGAGTTAATCCGATCTTTCTAGATGTCTATCACTCTCTCTCTCTCTCTATATATATGTATGTATAAAAAAGATATATGTGTGTATTCGTATTCTTTCTAGAATCTTTTGGAATCTATATTTAGCAGCCAGAATGTTTATACGCAGGGTCTTCCCAAACTGTAGGGGCTGCAAAAGATTCCAAAGTGGGGTTGCCTGAAAATGAGGTTTCCAAAATGGATCCCTTTGCTTCAAGCAGACCACCTGTTGGTCCAAGTAGTACAGGACATGATTATTTTCAAGGGCCTGGAACTCATCGGAGTAGTCAATCTTTTGACCATGAAAGTCCATCCAGTTTGGACTCTAGGTCAGCTAATTCACAGTCACAGGAAAGGCAAAATCAAAAGGATGGCAAGAAGACCACCACTAAGAGAAAGAGGGGAGATACATCAGTAACTGCAGAACCACAAAATGACAATGCTCAGCAACTTGATGCTCGTAATACAGGAGTTAATCCAAGGAAGGGAAAGATGAGCAAAGTTGAATCTTCTTCTGGTTTTGCTATCAAAGGCGGTGAGCGTGCTAATTTTAATATTCATCCGGGTAGCAGCCCTATGGAACAATTCACATCATTATCTGGTGGTATGAGACCTTTGGTTAGGCCCAAGCCAGAGGGTCAAACTTTGACAGAAAAACAGTTAGATCCGGCAAGCATTAACAATTCCATGACTAGGCCTCCCAATTCAAAATTCCCTGAAGAAACAGAAGTTTCCTCCGGTCATAATCCCCTGTCACAGCAGCAAGTACCTTCTGTGGGTCATGACCATATGGGCTTATGGCATCAAAATAAAACTGGGTTGCAATTTGAAAAATTTCAGGTTCCTCGGTTTTCTTCTAACATTGTTCCTGGAAATGCAGAAATTCCACTGCAGTCGGCTGCTCCATCTCTTGGAACAGGTAAGGAGTATTCTATGTTGACTCTTTTGTATGAAACGAAAACTTTGGAGATGGTAGAAATAAACTAGGAGCGAAGGTTGGTGCCTTCAGAGTTAGACCCTTATATTATGTGTACAATTGTACATCATAAAAAAAATATTTGTTTTTCTTTCCACCAAGTATATCTTGATTGGATTTATTGAAATTGAAGTATGGAAAAGAATCTAAATTTTGACTGGTAATAGTTGTTGATTTATTTTTCCTCGCGTAAGAGATAGTAATAAAAGAATGTTCTCAGTTTGAGTGTCTCATGAGTCAGTAAGTAATTATTGGACATGATGATATACATGGAAAGCTTAGGCTCTTTTAGGTTCTACTCATTAAAAAAAAAAATTAGGCTCTTTTGGAAAGGTTCATGGAGGGGTTCCTGTAGCTTCTGGTTCATTTCCAACAACAGAACAAGGATTCTCAAGTCCAATGCATTTTGGTGGTTCAAGCCTCACCACTGGAAAGGTTTTGGAGCATGATGGTGGAAGTTCAAATAAGTTGGCTGATGCAGGGAAACTTGCTCAGGTACTAAATTTCAGTCATTATTCACTGAGAAGATGGTGCGTAATATCTGTTTGTGTTTGTACTGGATTATAGGCTTCATAAGATGTCATTTTGTTTTTGCACATCTGTTTTGATTTTGATACCTCCGAAGTTGCTTTTTTGTGATAATTTCTGATGCAGGGCAGCATAGCCACATTGCCTTCCCTTTCCAACTTATCCCCCTGGTCTCTTATTTCATGTGTGTGGCTTAAGAAGCTTATTGTCTTCAATTTAGTTTGCCTTACATGAACAGTTTCTGGGTACTATCTATGGTAAAATCACCAAATTGAACATTGGTATTGCTAATACTATCTCCATGTGTACAGTTGCACCATGTAAAAGGAACTTTTAGTTATTTTTTTAATTTATTTTCAATACTTACTAATAATTATTCAGCAACACACATTTTATGTTTATTGAAAATCTAATAGCCTGTTGATAATGCGCTGTAAACATATCAAATTAGAGTAACTCTAATCACTTTATTTTGCGTTGCAAATATTTCTTTTGAACAATTAATGTTTGCTGACACATATTTATAAAAACAGCGTCTGAAACTGCATTTATGGTGCTATTCCATAGCACAGGCTCAATTTGTGTTTTGTTCTGAACAAGTATTACGTTTGATGTCCTTCCTCAGTTTGGGTTCGTGGTGCTATTCCATATCAGAAGCTTAATTATGACTCGTAATTTGTGTTTTGTCATGCACAAGTATTGGGTTGTCCGCTAGATTTTTAAGATGCTCTATTTTCTTGATTGTCTTTCAATATGGATATGTTGATCCTATCCAAACTATGTTCAGCATGTGGCATTGTTGGTGGAATTGTTATTTTGCTGCAATGCATTAAGTTGCTCCTGCTATTTGATGGTTTTGTAGGCTGGCAGACAAAACAATGTATCTGAAATGAATATGCTTAGAAGTGCAACACCTAGAGATACAGGAAAATCTCCTGTATCTGCTGGGATGGCTTTCAAGGAGCAACAATTGAAGCAGCTGAGAGCCCAGTGCCTTGTCTTTTTAGCTTTCAGGTCAATACGCCTTAGATTAGCATTCTCTGGTAGCCTTTTAGGGGAGAACACTATGCTCCAATAAACTTTCTCTTAGTACGGTTGTGCTTAGTAGTGGTTTTTCTATGTGCAGAAATGGTTTGATGCCGAAGAAGCTGCATCTTGACATTGCACTTGGAAACATCTTTCCTAAAGACAGTTAGTAATTTCTGATTTAATGTATATGTTATTTCTGCGTTTGTTAGTTAAGACCATTTTTCGTTGTTAACTCTTCATGTTTCAGGTGGTAGTGCTGAGGGATCTCGTAAGGAGTTGGTTGACCCTAAAGGAAAAGTACAATCTTCTAGCGAACCCAATAATGTGCCGGAGATGACAATGCCATTTGGAAAGATGACCAATGCAAGGGAAACTGATAAAATGCCTCCAGGCACCTCCTCTATTGTTGGAAGATTCCAAGATGCGGAGTCCTTATCTAAAGAAGCTGGGAACTCAAAGATGGAGGAGAAAAGTGTGCAACCCTCTGACCATTCTGTTTTTTCTGATGAAAGAAAACATTTCCGAACTTCAAGAAAACCAGATGCTGAAATGCAGATTCAGGAATCCACAGGTTCACAGGCCGGCCTAACAATGGCATCACAGCATGATTCTTCTGGTGTGAGGACTGGTTTAGTTGTTAGTGCTCCTGGGGACAAAATGGAAAATGGCCATCTTCAAGTTGGAAGGGCCAACCAAGCTGTCTCCATAATGGCTGTGAATAAGCAGACGAGCTCTGAAATAGTTGGCTGGACCGCAGTTGGTAATCATGATGAGGTTTCTAGGGGAGTTCTTCCAGCATCGTCTGTTCAGCATGATTTGGTGCCTGAAAGAAAAGACAATGCACCTAGTCAAGTCCAAAAACTTATCAATACTGCTAGTTCAGGGAATGTACGTGTTGATAATAATTTATCTTCTCTTTCCTTGAGAGATCGCTGGAAACCAGTTTCTGGAATTGACAATAATCATCATGCAATACATATGTTGAAGGATGCTAATATGATGCCAAAACATGGATTACAAGGTGAGAACCATACTGCTAAGTAACTTTATATTATTAAGTCTCCTATTGTTTTCATTTTTCATAGTGATCATGATACATGAGAATTGTGGTAGCCCCTACTGCAGATAATTTAAATGTTAATAGTTTTGAATCAAAGGCTTTCACACAGGCAAAAAGCAGTTTTGGTTGCTGATACTAAAATAATATTACTTTCACTGCAGAACAATTAGAGGACAGTACCTTTGTACACACTGATTTGCCACCTTCTCCAAAGTACACGATGTCGGAAAAGTGGATTATGGATCACCAGAAAAGGAAACTCTTGGATGAGCAAAAATGGGTTCTGAAACAGCAGAAGACAAAGCAAAGAATTGCGACTTGTTTTCACAAGCTAAAGGTTTGTGCTTGAGACTTGGTGTTGGTGACAGCTTTCTGCTTATACCAAAATATCATTTGTAATGTTCACTCTGGATATCTCATTTATATATGTTGAACAAGTTAGTATTGAAAAGCAATGTCTGTTGTGATTCGAGCCTTGCCATTTTATGCTCAATTATATTGGGGCCTTGGACAATAGCTCTTTTGAAGAATGCCATGGTGACTTTGTCTTCACCTCTCGACTATTAAGTAACAATTTCTTTTTTGCTAACTATTCACACTTAAACCTTTTATTTCTTATTTTAAAATTTTGTAGCCTTTTCCGTTCTTTACCATTGATAGTTAGCCCTGTGCATGTGCATGTGCATACGTATTTATATGTACAAAATTATATTCCAACTTGCAAGATATCGAGCCAAATGTATATTTATGGCCTAGTGTTGCCGTTCTTGTCTTGTGTTTGATGTTGTGTTTTATTATGGAATGTAGGAGAATGTGAGCTCATCTGAAGACATATCTGCAAAAACAAAGAGCGTCATAGAACTCAAAAAGCTGCAGCTCTTAGAGCTCCAACACCGACTGCGGAGGTTATTGATTTTTCTTTTATGCACCAATTTGGTTACGTATCAGATTTTTTGTTTATAAGTTATCTGTTCTCATACAAAAGAGCCAAGGTCTTAAATTAAATTGTCTGTCTTCTAAGATCAGAACTCTTTTGAATGAACTACATCAATGCTTTCCCACCAACTTATTGTGCAATTGATTTGGTGATGTTGAAAATTGGAAACAACTATTTGATCCTTGAGGGTATTTAGAAAAACTTATGGTGTCGTTAAAAATGAAGAATTTGAGGTGTTCTTTTGGAGCAGAGGGAGTATTTGTTCATTGGGGTTTCCAGTTCGATCATAACATTTGATTAGTCTTAGGCTAATTGTGGTTTCATTTTTCAGTTTATCTCTCAGATATAGGGTGTTTTGCACTTTTATACCAATATACCTTGCACGTTATCGCTAATGCTGAAGTGCTAAATAACTTAGTCAC